AAAAAAAAAAAGATATGATACATGTCTGATTACACTAATTACCTGATGGATTCACATTTTTTTTGTTCTACCACCTTACATTTATGACATATCTAAATGATCAATATGCTTATGCTAGCCAAGTCCACCTTTTAACCGAGTCTTGAGCTGTTGACCGTTGACCACACAACCGCGACAGAGCACGCGCGCGCCGAAAACCAGCGATGGAGCTACACAACGTTACCTAAATCTCATAGCCATCTACTATACTGTCGACACGGTATATCCACGCGAAAGTACGCTATTTTCTAAGAACATGCGAGACTTTAGATGCATTAGCTGCTCTAGGGAAATAAATAGAAGAATAAATAAATAAAAAACTATTTGCACTACAAAGCAGTGCTTATTATTACGATGTTAAATTAAAATAATATGATAAGAAATACTGGTTTGCAATATCAAGCAGCTTAAGTTTTTTTTTAGTACCGCTTAAATAACTGGAAGCGGTTGACACCGGAAGCACTGCACATTCAACATAAATGCCCGCGCGCTCGAAAGTTAAAAAGGACCAGATGTATAGCTCAGCGTTATTACATGGTCTACCAAAACACGAAAACACGTTCATATCCAAAGCACTACGACTGAATGTTTTATGAGTGTTTTTTTATTATTATTAAGAAAACTCCATGCACGGAGGAGAAATTGGTAAACCCACGATTTATTCTGAATAGGGTAACCGGGTAAAGTGGACCGTGTATTAACTCACCCAAAATACGCCAAGCTTAAAGCCTCGTTCAGAAATGACCAACCCCAACCCGACTTCTTTGGGCTCGATATAACTTACCATTAATCTCGTTCACGGCATTATACGCACGTTGGTCAAAGGGAACGACTGGCCACATGGCTCTGGCAGAAAGATCCTCATGAGTTATTGAATGTGACCCCATGAGGAACGGGAACGGTACGACGTCGACAGGTTGAGGGTACCACATGTTCTGAAACTATTTAAATGACCAAATTCAAGAAAAAGACAGTTAGAATATGTTTGCACCAGTTATTATCGACAACAGAGCGTGTCCACCTCAGGTAAAGCGCCCTGCTAATGATTAACCTTAGGCGCTGCAGCTGCGCGATTTATTAATAAACTGGCGCCAGGTAAGCATGCAATTTACATATAAATTACACGAGAATGTCGCACGATAGGAGAGTAAATATAATTACTCTCACATGTGTTATTATTAACTTGACGGTTTTGACCAGTTAGTTTGAGCGCTGACTGAGATGTTATCAGTTGTGAGTTCTGACAGAAATCAACGATTCATTATTTTACGTCGTGACGTATTGCATTGTATCTCAAAATTGTCCTTATGGCCATTCTGATGCATTACAGGCACATACAACCGTTTATGACAGTTCTTTTCTTATTAGTTATAAGGGTATTTATTGTGATTTCTTGTCTCCAGGTTCAGTTTAATACAGCCACGATGCAGTTAATTAAAACAATAACAAAATCATTAGACCATAAATATAATTCACATTAAATACTGAAATTCATCTTTTGCCTCTGGTTTTACAAAAACAAAATCAGACATGGTTACATTTTTGCAATTTTTATGGCATGTCTCTAAATTAAGTGTTAGGTATTAAATATGGTAAAAGTAGGTGTCCGTCGAATCAGGGTATCTTCCGTCCAATCAATTTTTGTTTTAATATT